GGCTCTGCCAGTCCTTAGCTGTTGCTGAACAAGTCACTTCCTGTCAGCCTCGGTTTCTTCATTTATCAAACAGGAATTGAGTACAGCACCCATCCCATAGGCACATTGGGATGGTTCAGAAGACTGACGCATGCAAGTCATTTATCACAGGGCTTAGAACACACTGAATGATCAATAAGTGTGCTCCTCTTAGACTCCTCAAAGGCCAAACAGGGAACAAGGGCCTTAACATTTGGAGGAACTCAGGAACTTGGAGCTCAAAGGTTTCTGTCCTAACTGCTGAGCTTCTGTGTTCATTTACCTATTTCAAAATGTCCATCAAACTCTCACAGCCATCTGGCCTGCTTTGGCAGACACTGCCTGAGTTGCACTGAGAGTCCAGCCATTCCATAGGCCTCAATGACCCTGTTCTGATTGCTCTTAACATAATAACAAACAAGCACATGAATCCCTTTAAAGGTATAATTTATGTGGGAGATATAAACCATTCCAAATGGGCTAAGGTGAAAAAAAGGAGAAGACAGGCGAGGGTATCCTGGGAGGAAGCATAGACTGGGAAAGCTGATCCTTCTAGCCTCAGGTGGCCTTTGTGGAGACCCAGATGTGGGTGGCCAGTGGCAGGTCTTGCTGGCTCAGGGTGAGCTGGGACTGATGGAAGGAGGCCCAGGATACCCACCAAAAGGAGGCCCTGAGGCTGAGAGTCCTCAGGCCCCAAGAGGGGTGGCTGGAGCTACAGCCTCCCAGGCAAGTGACGATGGGAACATCTAAAGACTTCCCCAGGCCCCAAGCTCCCAGCCAAGGCTGGATCTATGGCCCAAACCTCACCAACCTGTGGCCAAGAGGCCCCTGGCTAGTCCTGCTCCCAGCTACTCACTCTAAGCCCCCTGCACAGCATGTGTTTGCAAGCCAGACAACATGCCCCTTCTATCCAGGGTACAAACAAACTTCCTGAAACTTGGTGAGGCTGGGTGGCTGGCTATAGGAAATGGCCGGTTTTCTAGAGATGAGAGGCCTAGCTGGGAATCACAGCCACAATCTGCAGGATCTCCATTTGTGGGGCCTGGAACTACAGGAGTTTGGATTCTGAATGTCAGGGGTAGTCAGAGCTGAGAGCATCAATAAGAAGGCAGAATGACAGAGGCAAGGAAGGCGTCCTGCTCCAGGGTCTTACCTGAAACACCGGACCCCTGCTCTAAGCCATCCCTGTCATGTGGGACAATGTCCCTGGCTCCAGGAAATCCTCCTTCTAGTGCTCTATCCCTGGCCACTGGACAGCTGTCCTTGGTACCTGCTCTCTGTGTGGGGATTATAGAGTTTTAAGGGAGATAGCATAGGCACCTGCCAGTGTCTGGCCTTTCTGTCTGTGGGGTCCTTCTGACAGCTTTTCCCAAAGCTGTCAGACCCAGATGGAGCCTAGGATAGACTTCTGGGCATGTGAGAAGGGCGAGTCTTGATCAGCATCTCAGAGAACGTGCCGATTATAACCTGAGCTGGTCGCTTGTCCTCTGGACCGGTTATCTCATTTATGGATTGGCGTTGTTGACGGCGGGAATTTCTTCTGGGCAATCCCTAGCTTCTCACCATAAACTTCAACCATTCTGTCACCGGCCTTCACTCCCCAAAATTTTCTCTCCTCAACCTAGGCAAGTGCCAAGCTGGTGAGAGGAAAATAAAGATTTGTATAAAGAATTTGTGTACCCCAAATTCTTACTCCGTGACATCAGGTGTGCCCCCACCTCTCTCCTTGCAGCTGTTATAAAGACCTATGCAGTTTTTGGGGTACAATAGAGCAAGAGGATTCAGCAAAATGGGGGGCAGGGGTAGTTGGTGAGGACCACAACACCAAAGCTGGCACAGCCAGGCAAGGACATGCAGCCAAGTCACTTGGAAGGAATAGGGACAGCATGGCCAAGACAAAAATTATGGTGAACAGGGGTATGCCACTAGATCTACCATGCGGGGCATAGGTGATGGTTAGGGCCTAGGCCAAGAGGTTCAAGGGCCTAGGGAGGCTATTTTTAACTCAGCTTAATTTCTCTACCTGGAAAACAGCTCTTGTCAGTAGGGTAGCGCTGTTCCCGGAAAGGCTCCATCCCCTAAGACAGGCTGGACTCGCTCAGGTTCCGAGGCAGGCCTCTCCATTACATACAGCCTAGCCTGTCCAGCTGGAGCCCGAGCCAGGGAAGGAGAGAAACCAGAGCCAGCAAGACAGCTCCCTGGGCTGACCCTATGAGGCTGCAGTGGCCCCTACCCTGTCGTCACCCTGTTTTCACACCCAGAAGGATCCTGTCTCCCGCTCATTTAATTCTTCTATTATGCCTCCCAGACCCGGAGCCTCTGGTTCCCTATTGTCCTAGGCAGGCAGTTTGCATTTGTATGAAGATTAGACAGGTTAGAACCCTACCTGCCGCTCCGCTGCTCTTTCTCTTTTACTGTCTCAAATCCCAGCTCTGTCTTGCTCCCAAGCCCTCCTCCCGATACCTGTCTTTATCTGCCTGGTTTCCTCCCCACCCTGACCCCACTCCTTCTCCACTGACCTGCGCTCTCTCCTGTCTCCTGGTTCCTCACCCTCTACACCCCCACACAAGTCTCTATTCACATTCTCTCAGAGCCTAATAGAATTGCTCACCTCGTTCCAGAACTATTCTTTTCAATTCTTACGGAGCTGTAGCGTAGGGGAGGGCAGTGAGCCCCACATGGGAGGCCAGTCCGCTGTGGTTTACTGGGGAGATCAAGACTGGGGTTCCAACAGGGGTCATGGGCCAACTGTGTTGGTGACGTGAACCCCTACACACACACGCACACACACACACACACGCACGCACACACACACACACACGCACACACACACACACGCACACACACACGCACACACACACACACGCACATACACACACACACACCTGTTTTCTGAGCCTCCATGTGGGCACTCTTGGAACTGACACCAGTCAGAGCAGCAGCATCCTAGGGTCTCCATGAGACCCCAGGACATAGCAAATACCTGAGTACCTAGCAAATACCTGAGTACATCATAGGTGAAAGTATAGTCTTGTTTTTACTGTCCTACACTGGGACAGCTTTCACTCACTGCACTTGACTCATTCTTCATTTGCTCTGCCAGACTTTACCAGGCTTGAGCGCGCGCGCTCTCTCTCTCACACACACACAGATACACACACACACACACACGTCACCCTGGAACAAGGTACAATAGCTTATACCTTTCCATCCCCCTTTCACTCTTTATCCGTTATTAATACAGGAACTAAAAACTCTGCACAGACATAGAAAGATGCTGAACAGTCTGGATACAGTCCAAAGCCAGGCCAGTCCTAAGTCACTCTCTGTCCCTCAGAGAAAATTCACAGGGCTCCTGAGCTAGACCCTGTGTACAGGGAAGGCCACGGGTCATGCCCTCTGCAGGGCTTTGGACCTCGAGAATATAAGTCCACTGCCATGAGTCAGACAGGCCTAGAAATTCCAGGAAATATGAGGGCCTTTCCCCTGTACCTGCAGGCAGGCTCCCTGAAAGGCTGTACTGGCGCAGACCTTGTCGGGACAGGACAGGCACAAAGGGGCTGCCAGCGCTCTGAGTTTCTCCTTCTGCCCCTTCCCTTCCACAGTGTGTCTTTGCTTTCACCTCCAACAAGACTTCTGGGTCAGCCAAGGGACCAGAGCAGAATGCCAGGCCCAGGAAGGTCCTCCTCCTGCCTTGCCTTCCTCTTTCTTCCTCCTTCTCCGTTTTATGTATTGTTATTGTGTGCAGGTATGTGTGTGTGTGTGTGTGTGTGTGTGTGTGGCTGCGTACACGCCGTGGCACATATGTGGAGGTCAGAGCACAACGTTTAGGTGGCAGGTCTCTCCTTCTGCCGTATTGGGGCAGGGTCTCTGTCGTCGCTGCTGGACTCTCTAGGCCAGGCAATCTGGCCTGTAAACTTATAGACAGTTCTCAGGCCACTCTCACCTCACCACGGGAATGCTGGGATTAGAGGCAAACGCCAGCCCTGGCTTCCACGGATCACACCCAGCTCGTCAGGTATGTGTGGCAAACGCCTTTCTTTGACCCTCTAGGCCACCTTGCCTGCACCCCTGCCTCTCCATTTTTTGCATACAGTAGCCACTGAGGTGAGGCAGGCTATTCTGTTGCATCCACAGTGGGAAACCGCTCAGGCCACCTTCTGTGTGCCCATGGGACGTCTTTCTAGAAAGGACTCTGAACTATCTCCTCTGTATCAAGGGGGTATGTGAGCCAAACAGGGTAAGGAGCCCCCTTACCCTGTTTGGGTCTTGTTTGGAAAACAAGGAAACTGAGGCCCTAGATGCTATCTCTGGCCATGATTGCATAACTGAGCGGTTTCCAGAAAGGACCAGAACTCCTACTACAGGCTGGGGGGAAGGAAGGGGGAGGAGACACGACAGTATTTCCTGGGTAAGATGGGGACGTCGCAACCCCAGGCTGTCAAAGGTCAGGCATGAGCTGTGCCCTTCCTGAGGCCAGCGGTCCAAAGGGGGCTCTGACTCGCCCAAGGCCATGAAGCCTCGAGTGGGCCCTTCACCTCCCACACAGTGAAGGGCTATCTCAGCTTGCTTCACAGCTGCCAGAGAGGAGGGTGACCGATTCCCTGTGACTAGAAAGGGCTTTGCTTTGAGACCTCTACTCCAAACTTCCAGTTCCGTGGTGACACTGGCAGAGTAGGGAAGGGGGCTGGGAGCACTTGGGGCTGACTTCAGAACTCAGAGGGGCCCTGGGCCTGAAGGGAGCCGGGAGACTCCTAAAGGTGCTCCAGCGCAGCTTAGAGGGTGGAGCCCAGCCTTCCACCTCCCTCCCCCCCTCACCAGGAGACCAGGGCGGGCCAGGCACCCAGGGAGGAGGCGGTGTCCCTGGCTCTCTGCCCAAGGTGCAGCAGCTAGGCAAGGCGGGGCTGGACCAGCAGGGGCGGGCGCCCTGCCTGGTGTTATAAGAAGCGGTCAGGGCACCTCGGCAATGAGCTCCCAGCTCGGCTTAGCAAGCAGGACACTGGCTACCGGCGCTCCCTGCTCCCTTGGTCCAGCCAAGCACTCTGCCGCTGCTATGGTCTCCACACCGACCGCCTGGTGCTCCATCGCCCTGGCCCTGCTCTTGGCCCTGCATGAAGGTGAGCTGCCCTCCCTCACTTGTTGCTGCCCCGGGGTCTCTGGGGTCTCTCCATCGGTGTCTCCTCCAGGGGCATTGTGCTTCCTCAGGCCAGCGGGGGGCACAGAGCTGGGAAGCCGCAGTAGGAGCTGCCACCACAGAGCGCAGGCACGGCGCGGGTGGCTGGGGCTTCCCCAGGCTAGCCAGTGGTTCCTGAGTACCAAGAGTGCCAACTTCCTTATTGTGCAAGAGGAGGAGCCCTGCGGGTCCCCTATCCCAGGCAGTCCAGGTGTCCTGATCTCCTCTCCACCTCTCTCTCCCTCCTGCGTGCAGGGAAGGGCCAGGCAGCCGCCACCCTGGAGCAGCCAGCATCTGCACCCAAGGGCCGAGGCCCCCACCTCCGTTTTCGACGTTGCTCCTGCAACTCCTGGCTTGACAAGGAGTGTGTGTACTTCTGCCACCTGGACATCATCTGGGTGAACACTGCAGGGTGAGCGTCCACTAACGCTGTGGGAGGGGGTGGGGGGTGAGGGCCTCTGCAACTGCCTAGCTCACCGTGGGCCTCTGACAGGACACTGGGAGAGTACCCACAGTGACTACTTATGTATCAGCTCCCACGGGAGCCGCTGGAGCCAGGCAGGGGGCCCTGTACCCTTCCCTCAGAGCAGTCCGAATGAAGGTGCTAGCTTCATTTTCCAGATCGGAAGACAGAGGCTCAGAGATGTGAGGTGGCCTCTCCAGGGTCACACAGGAAGGGATAAGTAGGAGGGTTTTTTTCCCTAGGGGTGCTGGAGCTCTATAACGCTTCCCCTGCAGAAAATAATCTCATGCATGGCAGCCGCCATGCCCAGACCATGTGCAGAGCCCTGCAAGGGCAGTTCTGTCCACTGAGCCTCCAGCCTCCCCGCAAGGCAGGTAGGGCTGCAACACACACACACACACACACACACACACACACACACACACACACACACGGCAGACAAGAAGTCTGCCTGGGATACCCAGGCAGGAGCCGGAGCTGGGTTCTGCCTGCCCTGTGCTGCCTCCAGGCCCCTGCATACCTCAGGTTGAAGTTTCTGTGTATGTTTGTATTTTTTTTTTCCTTCTCCAAATTGCATAAGGCAAGAGAAGCTGAGCACATAAGCGTGTGTAGAGCTAAATCCACATCCAAACGCTGGCTCTGGGCGGGAACCCTGCCAGTGCCTGCTTGCTGGGTCCACCCAGAATCGCTGTAGCTCCAACTGCCAGGCCACCTAAAATTAGCTGTTGACCAAAGGTGTTGGGTGGACTAGCCTCGGGACCCCTACATTAGCCAAACTGGATCAGAAATCAATCCAATTACACATGTACAACTCTCTCTCTCTCTCTGAAAGGTGTATTTGTCATACTTCCCCCCCCCCCAACAAGTGGGGGATCAACTGGAGGGTACTAGGCTCTTCACTCTGGCAGCTGAACAGGCCTCCCTTCCTCCTGGCCTAGATAGGGGGCCTCTTTGAGTGCAGAGGACCAACCCTGGCTTCACTGGGACTGCAGACTCCACTCCTCACATTCCCCTGCAGGAGCTCCTAGCAGAGCAATGTGAAGCGGCATTGGTACAGGAGACTGTGGCTGACTTAATATGGGAAGGAGCCGGGTGGTCACCCTTCTTGGCCATCCCGGAGGTGTGACTGACTGCCCAGTGTAGACAGTCTCCGCTGGCCAATGATGTGTTTATCTAATCCCGTGTCTCTCCTCTCCTTCTCTCCTCTCTGCCTCCCCCACCCCTTGTATACACTACCTTGCTGGCTCCCCGCCCACAGACAGACAGCTCCTTACGGCCTGGGAAACCCGCCAAGGCGCCGGCGCCGCTCCCTGCCAGGGCGATGTGAGTGCTCTACTGCCGGGGACTCTGTTTGTGCCACCTTCTGCCATCGAAGACCCTGGTAGGTGGGCTCCTCTCCTGCAGGGGTTGGGTGACCGCTAGGCAGGACCAGGCGTCCCAGCAGGGTATTTCGGGGACTAGTAGAGGGACAGGGGCCCAGAGGAGAGCCCATAAGTACACTGGGTCCATGGCAGAGTCCCTTCCCAAAGAAATACCCTCAGCCCCTCCCTCTGCCTAGCTCCAAGGCTTCTGTGAGCACCCACACACACACACACACAGGACAGGAGAGGTGCAGCCCAGGTGAGAGCCGGGCTCAGAGCTCACAAACCTGGCTCTCCTGGACTTCAGGTTCTAACCCAAGGCTCTGATACTTCATAGTTTGTTTAGAAGAAAAATGACATCTGGAGCTGGCAATCTGTGTGACAGGTACCAGAGTTGTCATTAAGTCGAGGAACTGGGATACAGATGCCAAATCTCCTTGCTTTTCCCATCCGTGAAGGGGGAGGCTGCATTCTTCCCCTCCTCCTCGTGAACCATTGAGAAAGCAAGGGCTGAGTGCTCCCGTTCCCATGACAATTTACGAGAAATTCCTCCTCTGGGCCTCAAGCTGGGGCTCCACCCCTGCCTCAGTTTCCCCTGCAACTGCAGGTGGCCAGATTCTGGGAAGGCCAGCCACCCATCTGCCTCTTTCTGAGGCTCAGAGCACATTCCCAGTAGCTCAGTTTTCCTTGGTACCCACCCCGCCCGGGAGGGAAGGGTGCCAGGTGCACTGTGTGGAAATGGATCTGCTCCTGAGGACAGGGCTGGGGGCTGGGCTGGGCCTGCAGCCAGGTAACTTCAGGGTTCTGGCCAGCCCCTCACTTGTTGCCACTCTATTCATTCAGGTCTGAAGCTGTGGTCACCCCAAGCAGCCCGGCTCCCGTAGCTGTGTTCAAAGCTGGCAAGGCATGGGCCGCTGAGCAAGACCTCCTTCGAAAGCTGAGGTGAGGAAAACCGCGTGGTTGATCTCTTTCTGTAGGCTTTACGGGTTTGCCTTGTTCTCTGTGTGAGGCAGGACTGGGTCTTCGTTATCTAACCTAGAAAACAGAGGACTACAAAGGCAATACCTTGTCTAAAGCCTCCATCACATCTGGCTGTATCAAGAGCCCATGCTCTTAAACAAAAAAAAAGTTTTAGATTTATTTTTACATGTATGACTGTTTTGTCTACATGTATGTATGTGCACCACATGCGTGCATGGTACCTTTAGAGGTTAGAAGAGGGCGTCTTCTGTTGTACCTTATGTGCTTTAAGAAGAGGTCATTGGGTCCTCAGGAACTGGAATCACGGACCGTTGTGAGCTGTCGTGTGGTTTATGGTTCTCTGCAAGAGGAGGAAATGCTCTTAACTGCTGAGCCATCTCTTTAGCCCCCAAGCCTACATTCTTAACTACTATGTTCTCTGACCATCAGGTGTGGCTTGGGCCTTGAGGGCTCTGACTGAGAAGGACCACAGTTATTCATTGGAGCGCCTTCCCTATACTGAAGCTCCCTGTGTTGCTTGCTCCTTCCATGCTCCCAGTGGGATCTTCTCCTCAGGTGGCCAAAGGTGGCTCAGCACAAGCAAGCTGGCTGGAGGACAGAAACCTTGCCTTGGGCATTTCAACAGAGTGGCCCAGGGGCCTCGGGCAGGACAGAGGCTACTGGCTAAGAACCCCCGCCTCATCCACAAACGGTCTTTGTGAGCTCTGGCTGCTCTTCTCTGTGGTTTAGATTTTGACTTTTGAAGCAAGATGTTAGCAATGCCCATCCTGCAGGGTTTTCATGGGGTTGGGTGCACTAATGTGTAAGCAGTTTGTCTCTGTGGTGCTCTGGAGGCCCTGGTCATACCCGCCTCTGCCGTGAAGGGGCTTTCAGGGCTGGAAAATACCTGCTGTGTACCTTGGGAGTGCCCATCTTTGGGAAAAGGTAGAAAACATGGAGCAGAGGTGGTAGGAAAGGCAAGGTAGGCCCCTGCATATACTCAAGAACTAACTGAGTATAAGGGAGGCTTTGCAAACGCACAGCACTTCAGAGTGGGCAAAGAGCTGGCTCTACTACCCAAGTGCTCATCCTGTTGCTTTTGTTGTTCCTGTTGTTTGGGTTTGTCGTTGTTGTTATTTTTTTGGTTTGCTATGGTTTGGTGTGAGACAGGATCTCATTCAGTTGTGTAGCCCAAGCTGGCCTTGAGCTCAGGGTTGTCCTACTGTCTCAGTTCCTCAAGTGCTGGGCCTACTTGGTCTCTTAAAAGCAGAGAAAGGGTCTCAGAGAGGGTGAGCCCTGCCCAGGTTCCTACAGATTTGTCCTGAGGCCCACCTTCTCACTCCCAGACAGAGCTCTTAGGATCAGGAGGAAGTGGAGAGTTGTAAGTTCCCAGAGTTGTGGCCATGACCTCAGCCAAGCTCAAAAGGCCACTAGGACCATGCTGTGTGGACAAGCCCACTTTGCAGCAGATGATAAAGCGCAGATAGAGTAACGCGATGCAGTTTAGGATCCAGGAAAATGGATGCCAGGAAGGAAAAAAGGGCATTAAGAAGGTGCTGGGAAAGGAAGGCACACCACGGGGGGCACTGCCTGGGCTGTCCTCTGCAAAACCCTCACCCCAGCAGCATCTGATGCTGAGCGTAAGCACTGTCAGCACCCCTCCTGGGGGGAGACAAGCTCCTGGGCCTGCTCTGACCTGCCCAGACCTCGATGCGCAGACCTTGGGAAGGGGGTGTGGCTACGGCTCCACTCTGACCAGGGGCAGCTGGTCTAGGCAGCTGAGATCTAGGCAGAGGCTCTAGGCCCAACTGCCTCTCTTTGACAGGAACCCAGGAGACCTTCTAAGATGCCTCCTAAGATGCTAACTAATCCTCCTCTATTTCCAGGGACATTTCTGCCACCAAGCTCCGCTTTGCCAGGCTACAGCCAGAGATGACAAGAGAAGCCAGCCCTGCACACTCTAGAAGGAGGAAGAGATAATAGCACCATGAATTTCAAAACCATTGAGAAAGAAGCCCGCGTGGAGATGGGAGGAAATGGGCAGGTGCTGTGAGACCCTATGCCTGTCTCCTGGGCCAAGGCCTCAGCCCCAGCTAGCCAGAACTGCCTGATGGGTTCAGGACAAGATTTGGCCTCTCTCCCAGCAGCTCTGCGCCCTTACACTGCCAGGGCCACCCTCAGCACCTGAACAGCAGTGCAGCCTCCCAGGGCCGGCTGCTGGCTACAGTCCTGGTTGAAGGAGCTATGTGAGGCCAAATGAACATGCTGACTGTATCCTGATATGTGAGGCCAAATGAACATGCTGACTGTATCCTGAGGAATGTCCTGTTGGCTGGACTACAATCCAGGAGCAAGCCCACGGCAGGACACAGCTACCTAGGCCACACCTGGAGACTGGACGGGTCATCCTGATGACTGACATCTTGGCTGGTCCTCTCTGGTTCCCCCACTCTAGAGGTCTTGCAAACTTGTTCTCTAGGGACACTTTTGGGGGCGCAGAGCCTGCTCTGCTTTACTCGTCTGTATATAAGTTATTTGCTCTGAGAACTTTGAGATTCTTATTTATTTTAATGTTTTGTTTTTTTTTTTAGAACCTCGGTGGTTTACTTATGAACTCATGTTTGTAATAAAGGATGAAATGGTCTTCTAGGAATTTTGTCTTGGCCAAGCAGAGGCGGGAGGCTCCTCCCAGGAGGGGCCATTTGGGAGTTAAAAGGTCACAGGAAGAAGAAGAAAGTTCAACAACGTGGGTAGTTGGAGCCTAGAATCTGCTTGTCCCTTGCTGAGCTTCTCTGGCTACTAACGTGCCCTGGGATTTTTGCCTGTCACGACTTAGACAGGCATCTGCAGCTGTGATATCGGAACTCTGGGTCATATATTCACACCAGATCAGCCTACAATGGCCAGGCCTTCTTCAAGAGCATGTCTGGATGAAGCTAGGTCTAGGGGTGTACAGAGACCGTCTTTATTTAGCTCCAGAAATCTTGTCCAGCCAGGGCCTGATTGGGAGACCATAGCATATCTACCCAACGACAAGTAGAACCAGATGTGTCTGTGTACACCCTGGTGATGGGTGATGGGTGCTGAGACCCAGCCTCACCCAGGCCCTGCCGCGCCCTCAGGACCTCAGGAGGTCCAGGAATGAAATTCAACACTTCTCTGACGGAGCCCAGGGACAGCCTGTGGTCTGGACCATTCCTTGGCCGGCTGAATCTCCTGCAAACAAGATGCGTCCTAGTCCCATAGCTGGGAATGGCTGGCTCATACTGGGAGTGGCAGGCTGTGACCTGAGCCAGCTGTCAGAAAATATTTATGGAGCAGGCAATAATCATTTACATACCTGCCATAACCCCGCCTCCTTCACAAAGCCAACCCCAACCTCCCTGGAAGAATAGCACACTGGTATGTTCTGAGCTCCCACTGCACACCAGCATCCTTCACACTTCGCTCCCATTCACCCATTGTATCCTCACGGCAACACTGGGGTGTAGAGACTTCCAGAGCTCACGTTTTCCAGGTGAGGAAAAGTGACACACGGAGACAAGCAGAGACTTTCCTTGGGTCACACAACATGTAAATAAGAACATCAGGATTGGGATGCAGAATCGGCAGCATCCACGCATGTGATAAATATGTGTTGGTTGAATTGCTGGATCTCTTACTGCAGTTTGACCTTGAACTCTCTCTCTCTCTCTCTTTCTGGGCCTCTGTGATCTCATCTAGAGAATGGAAAGTGGTAATTCACACTTGCTGGGCTGTCAGAGCAGGAAGTGGTAAGCTCTGGGCCCAGCCCTGGGAAGCTGACAGCACATGGGAAGGCACGTGGGATAGGAGCAGAGTCAAGGGGCTAAGCGGAGGCATATTGGGACCGAACTGGGGTAGAGGTGGAGGTCGGAGAAAGGGCTCCACCTGAGATCAGTGCTCCTTCTGTTGCTTTCAACGGTGAGTAAGTGGCCGGCGTGGTGGCGCAGTGGGTGCCTGCTGCCAAAACCCGCAGCCTGAGCTTCATCCTCGGGGCCACCTCACATGGTAGAAAGAGGGCACTGACTCCTGAGAGTTGCCTGCTTACCTCGACATGTACCTTACGTCATACATGTACTCCTACACACACACACACACACACACACACACACACACTATCACCCTCACACACACTTTCTCTTTCCTCTCTCTGTCACACTCACACACACAATTTTAAAGTTTTAAATATAAAATAAAAACTGTTTTAAAAAGAAGATAAGTAAAACCATAATAGAAGAAGCTAAAATCAAGATAGCTGTGAGCAGGTTGGGGTGGCAAGGTGTGAGTGTTGAGTGACAGAGAGGTCCCCCAGAGAAGCTCTGTGGCCAAAGCAGGCAAGGAAAAAACATCTGGAGATGAAGCCACAAGGGCCTCAAAGGGTAAGTCGGAGGACAGGACTTTCTCCTTTGGGCCCCGGGGAGCTGTGAGCCCTCTGTGAATGGCAAGGAAAAACATGCCAGAGGCAGGCTCCAGAGGGCTAGTCAGGGCTGAGAGTGAGTGAAGGGAGAGGTGCAGAGAAGTAAGGTAACAGCCTGCCCCGGGAAAGTGCTGAGACCTCTTGGACATGTGGCCGTGAGGCCAGCTCTGCCACTGGACGCCGGTGTCACACTCCAGCTTGGCTGGCATGAGGAAGATACCTGCTTGGCACAGCAGCCTTCCATCCAGACTGGCCCTGCTCCCTCAGAAGTCCCAAATCCACAGCCAGTGGTCGGGCCTGACAGCCCCCAGGGCTCTGCTGGAAAGAGACGTGCAAGTCCTGGTGAGGTGTGCTGGAGGCCACAGAGGTGGGTGCTCACTGCTGTCACCTCAGGCCTGGGACCCTGGTCAGTCTAGAGGTTGACAGAACGGCAGATACTGGCTGAGGTGACACCCATTCCCTTAGCTCCTTAGTCACAGAAAGGGATACCTGCTTGGGCTCTTATCTCAGGAGATCCTGTTTTGTCCTTCAGTTGGTCCCACCACTCTGTGCTGGAGAAGCAGAGGGCAGGACCCAGGAGCCTCATGGGCCTAGAGTATTTTCCATAGACCTCCAGGTAGCTGAGACCCAGCAGTTGGGGAAGAACAGAAGAGCTGTGAGCCAAATGTAGCCCTGGGAAGTCTGGAATCGGGCAACAAAAATCTTCTCCCTCTTCCAGCTTTTCAATAAACAGTAAATCTTTTCCAAGTTTTAATTTTTTTTTTACATTTATTTGGAAGGGCACATATATGCCATAGTGAGTGAATGTGTGTGCATGTGTGTGTTCGTGTGTATGCGTATGTGAGTGTTCATGTGCGTGTGTGAGGGATCAAAGTACAACTTGAGAGAGTCAGTTCTCTTCCCCTACCACATGGGTCGTGGGATCAAACTCAGGTGTCATGGAGCTCTGCAGCAAGCACCCACTAAGCCATCTCACTCACCCATTTTCCCCAAGACTTTTGGAAGCACAATGATGGTCTGTCAGCTGGAATCCTAGGCAGGAGAAATGGGGATGACCCCAGCTTCCCCAGGGCACAAAGTGAGTCGGGGAACAGGTAGGAAGCTACAGAAGGACTACACATGGGTCAGGGAGAGGCCAGGCCACAGAGGCTGCTGACTGAACCATGGCTGCTTTCAGACATGCCTCACCTATGAGCCCCGAGAGCTCATCATATACACAAACACACACCCACGCGCACACTCCACCCCAGCCACTACCTCCAATAGAGTCCAGGGTCAGGACAGATAAGCTTCTTGCCTCACAGCAATAAACTCCTGGACTGTGGCCATTTATTCATTAAGCGACGATAAATAATTATCTCCGTGGAGATTCTGGTTAGCTGTGCAGACAGAGGTGGCCCCTGCCTTGAGGGCCAAGAGAGCTGCCTGACACAGGGATACACACAGAGTCCATTTACTGAGGCTTCCTGTGAGCTGATGAGCTTCTCACGGCAGCCTTACACAGCAGATTCTAGAGTTACTACTCCCTTCTCCCGGATGAGGTAAGTTGGGCGTGGTGGCTTGCACCTAGGAGGATGAAGCAGAAAATCACTTGAGTGTAGGAAACTGGGCTAGTTGGACAAGATAGTGAGACTTATCTCTTTAAAAACATGGAAGAGGAAGAAGAGAAGGGAAGAGATAGGAGAGGAAAGGAGGGCTGGCCATACTGGCACCTGCCTTTAATCCCAGCACTCAGAAGGCAGAGGCAGGCGGATCTCTGAGAGTTCCAGGCCAGCTTGGTCTGCAGAATGGGTTCCAGGACAACCAGGGCTACATAGTGTGGCTCTGTCTCAGAAACAAACAAACAAACAAAAAAGAGAGGGGGAGATAATAAGACCCCATTGTTTCATTCATTTTGTTGTTTGCTTTGGTTTGGAGTCAGGGCCTCATATAGCCCAGGCTAGCCTCAAATTCAATATGACCTTGAACTTCTGATCCTCCTGCCTCCATGTGCATGAAGTATTGGGCTCAAACTCAGGGCTTCATGTATAGTAAGCAAACACTCCTCCAATCGACAAGAGAGTCCATCTCCAGTTTGGCTGCATTTAAGCTGGTGCTGTCCTGACTCTAACAGGAAACAACCACATTGAGATGGAACCTTGTGGCAGGGAGCCCAGGATGGCTTCCTGGAGGTGACCATATCAGTTAAGTGAAGGAATAAGGTGGGGGAAAGAGTCCTAGACAGAAAGAACAGCATAGAAGAAGACTCCCTTCTTCAAGGATGGAATCTATGCTCAGCCTCTCCCAAGGTATCAAAGAAAGGAGGAGGCTGAGAAAGCTGGTAGGGTCTACAGGAATGAGCCATGATATCTTGAGTGCCATATACAGCCTTGGCATGGGGCTGTAGGCAAGGGGACACTGGCAGCAACTCTCAAGCAGACACACACACACACACACACACACACACACACACACACACACACACACACTTACCATGAAGGCTTCCCAGGCTGACAAGGGGAAGAGATGGGAAGAGGAATAGACTGTGAGCTAGTTTCCCAGCTGCCACAGGCAGTTGAAGGGCAGGACCAGAAGGGTTTGCTCACATGGGCATGAGGACCAAGGCAGCACAGCCAGGGGAGCAGGGACAGGAATGTCTGGCTGCAGCAGGGAAGAGCCCAGGTAGGGAGAGATAGCTGGCCTGAGCAGCAGGAGCCAGGCCTAGAAGAACATCCAGTGCCAGGAGTTTGAACTGGAGTGATGGAGAGCTGGTGAAGGTTGCTAAGCAGAAGCCGGTTCAGGAGCTGGCCTTGGGCTGCTGGATAATCAACAGGTCTTGCTGGGCCAGCGCTTCTAGCCTACAGAGGCCCTCTCAGCACCTCTCAGTGCGAGCAGAGCGTGTGTCTCGCCTTGGCCTGCCAGGGATCAGTGCCAAGAGCCCTCGGCAGCTCAGAAGGGGGCCGCTGAGAGCCCTGGAGGAGGAATGCAGCCTAATTAATTCTCTGAAGCTCCCAGGCCTCGCCTTGTGGGAGCAGCTGCCAGGACAGGCCTGCCAGGGCCCCCACCGGCCAGCTGTCGATCACTCAGAGGTAAAGCAGAGGGGGTGGGCATGCAGGGCTTGG